CAAAGAAAAGGGGATGAGCTGAGAAAATCTAGATGATCTAGATGTCCAAGATGTCATGCCTATAACTGATTATTTTTAAAGCCCCCATGTGGTTCATAGGTAGTTAGGTGGGAAACCATAAGGATTAGTCCTGGGCCTGTCAGTCTCTAACATTTTTATTCATGATTTGGAGAAAAAGGTAAAGAGAATGCTGGTCAAATATTCAGGTGAAATAAAACTGGGTGGAATAGTTTACATCTTTGAAGGCAAAAATGAAAATCAGCATGCTATTCCTCTGCTACAGAAGTCAGCTAAAGTATTAGAATGAAATTTAATAGAGACAAATGCAGATTTTTCTTCATTTAGTAGTGGTAGTTTTACTTAGAGGAAAAATCAAATGAGCATATATAAGATTAAGCATACAAAGTTTGATAATATGCATGAAAAAGATCTTTGAATTCAACTTGATCTAAACGTTGATATGTGCAAATGCAAATTTGGACTGCATCAACAGAAATATAAGCTGTATATAAATTGCAGAAAGTAATAGTTCTAGATTGCCAAGCATCTGTATTTGTATTTTTGTATTTTATTAAATTTGTATACCGCCCTTCTCCTGCTAGACTCAGGGCGGTGCACAGCCAAAATAAAAAACATCCCAATACAAAATTTAAAATTTGTTAAAAGAATTACACACTTTGGCCCAAAATTTAAAACATCCCAACTAAAACCCACAGACAATTAAAATCCAACATCTCAAAAAGGGAGGGGGGGTTTACGCCAGCCCTGCTTGGTGGAAAAGAAAAGTTTTTAGGGCACGGCGAAAAGCCCGGAGATCTGGTATCATGCGTATCTCCGGGGGCAAGTCGTTCCAGAGGGCAGGTGCTGCCACAGAGAAGGCCCTCCCCCTGGGAGTCGCCAGCCGACACTGCCTGGCTGACGGCACCCTGAGGAGTCCCTCTCTGTGGAAGCGTACTGGCCATGGGAAAACATGGGACTAAAATTAAATAAAATGAAGACCCAAGCTAATGACAATAGATTGAACAACAAGTTTTAGAACTGATAATGAAGATACCGAAAAGGTAGATAGCTTCTGCCTTTTTAGGATCAACCAACAATAATAAAAGGAACAAGCAATCAAGAAATACACTGCAGGCTAGCACTTAGTAAATCAGCCATGAAGACATTGGAGAAGATATTCAAATGCCACAATGGGTCTATATCTACAAAGATCAGAATTATACAACCATGGTACTGTCTGTGATGCTATGAAAGGAGAAGGTGGACTTTGAAGAATCAGGATAGGAAGAGCATTGGCATCTTTGAACTTTGGTGTTAGAGAAGATCTCTGATTGTGACTATGTCATGAAAACAAATAGATAGATTATTGAACGAAATCAACTCAGAGTTGTCAGTCAAGGAACAAGTGATCATATTAAAATTATAATAAGTACATAATGTGTATTTCAGACATATTATGTGAAGACTAAGTTCTCCGGAAAAGGCTCTAATACTGGAAAAAAATGAAAGGAAAGAGAAGAGAATGAGCAGCAGCAAGGTGGATGGATTCAGCTTCAGTGGCAGTGACTGCACCATTGAAAGACCCGATATATCAGGCTAGGGACATACCGTGTCTTCATAAGAAAAAATACCTTTATGGTCTCTAAGAGTCAACAACAACTTGATGGGACATAATCAATAAAATATATAACTTCTTTAAAAAGAAAGAAGTTTAGAAACGAGCATTTGGAAAGAAAATACATTTAAAGAAACATACTTGGGAAAAAATAGACTCAAAAATATATAATGATATAGAACTTTTATATGAATTATTAGCAGATACAGAAAATAATGGATTTATGAATAAACATACAAACATGACATTGATTAGAAATAAACTGATCCATCAAGCTTTAGAGAAAGATAATCTTTCAACTGTTCTTTGACAATTTAGTATTTCAATATTAAAGGCCTCTTTTCTTATTTTAAAAAAATTGTAAGAGAAGATTGTGAAAAACATTTCTTATATATGTTGAAATTTTCTTTTGTTAAGCTGCAAACACTAATAACTTGGTTTTCAGGTTCCAATATTCATGCATATGTTTTAAACCAGGGGTCCCCAACCCCAGGGCTGCCACTGCAGCCCATTCCGAACTGGGCCACGCAAACAGTGAGCGCCTGCATGTATGTGTGTGTGCGTGCGAAGCTCCACTTGCGCAAGCAGCGGGCGCTTACAAAATGCAAAATACTCTAATTTCCAACGCTTGTCAGTTTGCAAAACTATAGATAAGAGAATGCATGTTATAATACATTGAGTCTAGATAAGATTCAGTTTGGTGTAGCAGTTAAGACATCAGGTTAGAAACTAGGAGACTCAGAGTTCTGGGCCTGCTTTACACATAAAAGCATCTGGGTGACCTTCGGCCAATCACTCTCTCACAGCCCTAGGAAGTAGGCAATGGCAAATCATTTCTGAAATCTTGCCAAGAAAACTGCAGGGACTTGTCCAAACAGCCACCAGGAGTCAACACTAATTTGAAGGGACAAAGAAAATGTCTGTTCGTACATTATTGATATGCACACATATTGAAAAATGAAGCAGATATACTTTTGTAGTTTGAAATGTATTGATTAGAAAACTGACAGAATAGCAGATTAATGACTACAGTTTACCACATTATATTACTATAATAAGGTCAATAAAATGCAGCGATTTTTGTAGCACGGCCGTTCTCTAAATTGAAGATTTAAGTTTTATAGCAGTTTTCACATACATGCCCTTATAACTTTTTATAATTTTTCTTTTGATGTAAGATCAATTTTCTTTCTATATTATAGAAGGGAAACTGAGTGTGATCTCTACAAGTCAGTTCATCTGGAACAAATTCAGTGTTTATCTGTTGGTTTATATTTTACTTGTTTGATGTATGCATAAGAACTAAAAGCAGCTAGAAAGTCAAAATGTCATATTTCTTCAACAGATGGTTTTCACTAGTGGTTAGTTACTGCTGACAGTTTCAACATCAATAGGATATAAAGAAAATAAATTCGTCCATTTAGGAGATTTAGTACAATAATTATATTACGTGATATAATTAAAATGATTACCATCATTTTCTGTTTAAAAAAGAACTGGCATTTGAATGTCTAATTATTTATCTGGATCTAAGAATAACTGTTCACAATAATTCCTAGGCAGCGGATCAGTAGTTAACTTACTGGGATGTTTACAGAAATAGTTAAAAACAATCAAGATGGCAAGCCTGTAATGGAATAAGTTTGTGGCCTTGAGGAAAAAGAAGGAAAAATTCTGCCTTGGAAACTATCAGACAAGAGGGCCTGCCCTAATGGATCAGGCAGTTAAAACTGGTAGTCGGGAAGTTTGTACTTACAAGATCAATGTCAGCCCCCCCTCATCCCCCCCCCCGGGCAAACCAGACAGGAAAAGAACTAGAGCGGCTCTAGTCCTTTATGGTATGGCTACATTAACAGAATCTGTCTGTCCCTCTGGTTTGATTGTTCCCTAGGCAGCATCTCTCCTTTTTCCTCAAGGCCACTAATGCATTCCATCACATTGTCACAACCATGCGATCAGAAGTTCACCCCTTTTTTTTTTTTTTTTGCATTCATTGCAACACAGGTAAAAGAGGATAGAGCTTTGGGGGCTGCCATCTTCAGCTTTTTGATTGTCTCATCCAAAATGCCCGTTATAAATTACATTTTATTCTTGAAATGTCAGTATTAATCTGCAAAAATATTACTGATTTCTTGGTTTGGCACGAGCTTCGTAGTTCAAAAAACCGTTGGTAGTTCAAAAGTAGAAAATGTTCCTAGCAGTCTAAGAATATTTCTCTCTTAGAGAAGCAACAATAACTGAATGAAAGAGTGCCCTGAATCTGCAGGATGAAAAAACTTAATTTAACTTTCACATGGATAAGAAGAGAGTTAAGCATCTATTTCTGAGGGTGAAACATTTAGCGACATCTTTGGCACTCAGTAGATTTCTATTTGAGCAATGGTGGCCCAGTGGTTAGAATGCATATTGCAGGCTGACTCTGCTCACCAGCAGGAGTTTGATTGTGACTGGCTCAGAGTTGACTCATCCTTCCAAGGTCAGTAAAATGAGCACCCAGATTGTTGGAGGCAATTGGTTGACTCTGTAGTTTAGAGAGTCCTGTACAGCACTCTGAAGCTGTATATAAGTCTAGGTGCTATTGCTATGAACTAACATCCCCACACATGCTGGCTGGGGAATTCTGGGAGTTGAGGTTCACAAGTCTTAAAGTTGCTAAAGCTGGACACTTCTGATTTAAATATGCAAAATTTGCAAATTCTACTTACTTGAGACTACCCAATAGCCCTAGAGAGTTCTCTAAATCCCATTCTGGAAGGTGCTTTTGCTGAATATATCTTCCACGCACAAAAACAGACAGTTCTTCTGGCCTCAGAACAGGGTTATTCTTGTATTACTTCCAAATTTTGGAATGCTTTTAGTTCAATTACTGATTCTCACCCTTAACATTTTGAATAGGATGTAAAATAGATCTCTTTAACCCAGTCTTTTATAACTGGCAGCATTGTTTTTCCAATTATAAATATGACTCAGACTATTTTAACAGTGAAAAGAACTTTTTTTTCAAAACACATTAGATTATGTGAATGAGGTAGCAAGCATAGAAATCATATAATCTGATTTACCCAGAGTTGCAAAAACTGAAATAACATTGACAGCCAGGATTTAGAAAATTCACTTAGGGTTTTGGTGCCAAATTATAGGACGACAAGAAAAATGTTGCTAAGGTTAGCAAAAGATACCATTAAGCCTTTAGTGTGACCCTATGCTGTCTAAACTCACATTGCCAAATTGCTTGCTTTTCAGGTCTAATCTCCCTTGAATATTCAAAATATTTAGCCATCATCAATTCCAAGATAAAACCCTATAGTGAATTCTGCCTGTCAGTCAACAAAAACAGTGTTTGATATAACCATTTCACTTGCATTTGCTCTCATCAACCTCCTACCTTGAATTGTCCGCTTGAAGAAGGCTTTGCATGCTTCACAAGAGGCCACTCCATAGTGATATCCAGATGCAATGTCCCCACACACTAGACATAGCCTTTTTGGGATGGCATTGAGCATATATTCGCATTTAGTGGGTGAATCTTCCATAATAGCACTGGCACAGTCGTCATATCGCTTGCGGCAAGGCCCACCACCAATCCCTGCGCTGCCGAACATGGGTGGTGAGTCCAGGCCATTAGAATGGCCACCTATAGTGATGCCATAACCACCACTGGCATCAGATGAGCCACTAGGACTGTGATGGCTAATGGCGTCAATTCCAGAGGATGGACTGGATGGCTCAGTCTTGATGAAAGATCCACAACTGGAGGTCAAGTGCCGCTCATCTGTGGACATTCTGCCTAGTAGCCTGTGGGTTGCAAGAACAGAAAAGAAGCCCATTAGCTGAGGGAAACATCCTACCTAATTCAGATAGATCCCATTCTGGCTGTTGAATAATGCAATCACTGCCAGCATACTTTTCTGATAAAGCCCAGATAACTTGTGTTAAATCTATGGAATGGGGAGAAAAAATGGAATCGGTTACCCTTGTAAGTTGGGCAGCGATATACATTAGATTTATAAATAAATAAATTTTAAACACAATAAAACTGAGGCACTGAAATTGACAGATTTAATTTCCTTAAACTTCCCCAACCACCAAAATACAGTTATCCCTCAAGATTTACAATACTGCAACTTATAGAATTTTCCTCTAAAAACTATATTTGTTAAAGAGAACAATATACAAAACTGAATTGGGGAAATGGCTTGGAAAAAAATTAATTGGGCAAAATAATAAAAGCATGCTAAATGGACATGAACATTCATATGAAAAACAGTCATAATAATCACAAATTGATATGGAAATCTGATAGAAAAATATCAGTAAAACTAAAAGAAAGGAAATTAACAGGTTCATTTGTTCTTGGCTTTTTGAATAATGTAAGATAGTTCTAGGGAAAAAATGCATCTTAATTATAACACCAATCTGGGAAAAAATGTTTATGTGATGCCCTCATTGTTCCTAACCAGAGCATCACATAAACTTTTTTCCCAGTTCCTTCTCAATGAATCACTGTCTAAGTTTTTGCAATACTACAACATGATCCCTGATATTTATTCTTTTCTTCTGTCACATCTTTTTAGAAATACACATATAGCCAGGGGGGAAAAGCTGCTAAATTTTTAAGGACAGAGCAGACACAGCAGCAGATGTGTGATTTTAGGAAGTGGTTTTTCCCAGCTCCTCTATATGCATGGGACTTAGACAGTGATGAATACAACTTTTGCCCATATTCAGCAAACATCCCTGACACCACTGCGGTACAAACACTGCAATAAGATTTGAGATTTCTGCTAGCTGCATCCATCTTTGTAAGTTCCATATGAATCATTTTCTGGCTAATTGGCACGATTAGTGCTTTAAAAGCTTCATGCAATTTTTAAAAGCCAGAGCAATGAATCATTATCACACCAGACCTGCATGCAGATAATTTTCATGAAATCATACTGAAAAGCCAATCAGGAGCTTCTTTCCAACTTTTTAAAGTTCTGATTATAGTAAGAATTAAAACAAAACAAATGCCCAGGTCTTCTCCGCAAAGGAGGCATACATGCGGTGTTTAGGGACTTATTTTAAAAAGAAGGAAATGATAGAAGATTGCAAAATAAAGAATATTGTGGAGAGAATTAATAGGGAAAATATACCCCTCTGTTGGAACACTAAAATTCATGCAGTGGCTCACTATATGACGTACATTCAGGAAAGACAAAATCCCACGAGACTGATACAGAAGACAAGGAAAAGAAGACCATTTCCTCAATTTTGCTGACAGACCAGATCTCCTTCTCCCTCTTCCATCACCCTGTCAATTCCATCAGTTGGTTTTATATAATGCAATTTATCTATTCATCATTTTTTTTTCTCCCCATCCATTTTTTTCTTTTATACAATGTCTTTTAGACCGCAACCTTGTACAAAGAGACTTCATTCTATATTTCACTTTTAACAAGTAGATGCCCAGTAAGCCCTTCTAAGAACCTTTTTCATTGAAGACTGGAATAAAAATCCCATTAAATAAGGAAATAAAGAAAATGGAGTAACCAATATGAAATGAACCTACTGAATTTGTTGTCCTTATATGTTATGGTCCTTGGATGAGAGAGTTTTAGGATTTATCAAGAATTATTAGACTAAATAATAATAACCTGGCCTAGCCTCCCTTTTTAATTGTAAATTTTAAATTTGTCTAAAATTTTAGGGTTGTTTTAATCTGTTCTGGGCCAAATTTATTTAATTAGGTTTTTATACTGTTTTTAAATTTTGTAATTCTGTGTGTTTTATCTCTTGGCTGTTCACCACCCTGAGTCCCTCGGGAGTAGGGCGGTATATAAATCAAATAATAAAATAAAAATAATATAAATATAAATATATAAATAGCTAAATAAAATCTCCATGTTCAGAAACAATATTATGGTAAAAATGGATGCAAGAAACCAATAACAATGGAGAACCTTTGTCAGAATAGAATAGAATAGAATAGAATAGAATAGAATAGAATAGAATAGAATAGAATAGAATAGAATAACCGAGTTGGAAGGGACCTTGGAAGTCTTCTAGTCCAACCCCCTGCTTAGGTAGGAAACCCTACATCACTTTAGACAAATGGTTATCCAACATCTTCTTAAAAAACTTCCAGTATTGGAGCATTCACAACTTCTGGAGGCAAGTTGTTCCACTGATTAACTTTCAGGAAATTTCTCCTTAGTTCGAAGGTGCTTCTCTCCTTGATTAGTTTCCACCCGTTTCTTCTTGTCCTACCCTCAGGTGCTTTGGAGAATAGTTTGAATGCCTCTTCTTTGTGGCAACCCCTGAGATATTGGAACATTGCTATCATGTCTCCCCAATTCTTCTTTCCATTAAACTAGACATACCCAGTTCCTGCAACCATTCTTTATATGTTTTAGCCTCCAGTCCCCTAATCATTTTTGTTGCTCTTCTCTGCACTCTTTCTAGAGTCTCAACATCTTTTTTACATCGTGGCGACCAAAACTGAATGCAGTATTCCAAGTGTGGCCTTATCAAGGCATTATAAAGTGGTATTAACACTTCATGTGATTTTGATTCTATCCCTCTGTTTATGAAGCCTATAACTGTGTTGGCTTTTTTGGCAGCTGCTGCACTTCTTGCAGTGCATCCTGATGCATGATATATTTTATTATTATCCTTGTAAAGCTGTTACACTTTCATGTCCATCCTGCAAGGTTCATATTCAATACAACCATCATTCTAATAAAAACACCAATTTTTTAAAAGTGAAACACCATCCCACATTTGTTCTTTTGCTGGACCCATATAAAATGAATGTAAGTATAAGGAAGACACATAAAATCCAATACCATTCAGTAAGACAAGATTGACGGGACTTTTTATCCAAGGATACATCCACAACCAAAAAGTATTTTGCTAGGAACTCTTTATTTAAGCAAAGATGTTAAATGAAAGATATTTAATCCAGCTCTCCTAGGAATCGATGAAGGCATCTCCAGAGCTATTTCTGTCTGAATAGGCTTACAAAATCTAAACATGGCACTTTTCATCCTTCCTTTCCCTTCGTTCTTTCCTTTAAATATTTTCATGGCTATTCTCTGGATTCCCTCTAAACTGTCTCAGGAATAGTAATGTACCTAGACATGAACACTGAAACTGAAATATAGATGGATTACTCAGGGGAACAGAGAGTCTGCTTCCTAAATATGAAGTTTGAACTATTACTTATATAGTTGTCCCACTACTTGCTCAGTAAGACTCATATCAGCTTGCAGATTGATATCAATTCTATCCCCTCAGATTTCTCTAGCACAGCATATTAGCCATTTTGCAATCTATTAGCTGTTGCAATACTTCCTGCCTGCTACTTTCAAACTCATGGCTACTGGCAGAACTTCTATGCAATCCTAAAAGCTTCTTAAGCACAAACTTCTCCTTTGCTAGTGCGACAAACACAAGCTGCTTCTGAGACACCAGGAGAACTCTCCCAGAGAATTACTTGTGGGTTGAGAAATCATGTGGGTCCAATACAGAGGCAGTTATGTGTGTGATACTTTGGATTCTAAATGCATCTCTTTCCTTCTTCCCCAAGCCAGTATTTCCTCTTGAAAGCAGCAAATGTTACCTGTAGGTTTTGCTTACATAAAGACAGCAAATGGATGGATTTCCTCTTTAAAAAGGTTTAGTACTCAAATGCAGTGGCTATAGAGATTTTCAGTCATCCAGGTCATGGCTGACTTGTCCCAAAGGTGCTTTTTCAAGAGGCAACCAGACAGTTGCCTCTTGAAAAAGAAAAGTCCAGGTGCCTCTTGAAAAGCACCTTTGGGACACTCAAATGCAGTCTGGATTTTTAAAAAATCAAATCTTTTCATCTCAGCGTAAATGTACAACATACTGTCAGTTTAGCATCAATGTCAAAAATGACACATTTTATACTGGCTGTCAGCTTTAACAGGAAACATAACCAAATGAGCTAATTCTATTTTATTGTAGGGTTATAACAGAATCTTGCAAGTCTCAGAGTGCAAGTTTCCTCCCATATACTTTACCCCCAAGAAATTAGAGAACGTCCCTTCTGAGCCTCTTGCTCACCCACTGTCCCGCTGGGGAATATGCTACTTCTTATCCGACCATTCCCTATGCAGGAATTCTGGACCCAGTCTCTCAAAGTCATTTCCATATATCATTACACTGTACTTAGCTTAGTTCTTAGTTAAGAAATAAAATGTTCTTCATAAGCCTAATCCTCTTACCAAAATACAATTGTATCTTTTAGAATTCTTTGAATCCTGTATTTATTTTATCTTATCCTACTTCATTTTGGCATATTTTTATAGCCTGCATTTTTTAAAGTCTTGCCTTTCTCCTCCCTTGCCTTTGTATTTACTCAGCTTGAGTCAAAGGAAAGGAATAGAGGGTTGCCAACTTGAGTAATAATATATTGCAACATTAACAACAAAAAGTTTAAGAAAACCATTTAAGAGAACTAATTTCGTATATTAAGGCACATATTAGAAACTGAGAGACTGTGAGTTTTACCCCTACTTCAGGCATGAAGCCAGCTGGGTAATCTTGAGCCAGTCATTCTCTTAGTCCTAAAAAGGACACAATGACAAACACCTTCTGAAAAACCTGCCAATATAACTGTAGAGACATGTTCAGTCAGTTGCCAACTGACTGAACTGCCAACGCAGACTTGAAGGTATTTCCCCCCCAAAAAAATGCAACCCCCTCTTTTTAAATAAAATATAATCCCTGAATAAATTATAAGGAAAGCTTTCCATTTCAATGAAGAAGTTCCTGGAGCTTAACATTAA